TCTTAAAAAATCTTCCTCTAAAACTATGACATTCTTCATTCAACCTTTGATTCTTCAAGCCTGGCATGCCTGGAAGTCTTAGTTCGATTTACACTTTGTTTAAAATACCTTTTAAAGGATATAGAGAGAAGTGTGCTTGCAATAACACTTTTGGGACAATTTAATTAGAGAGGATTATTCCTACAAATATTGGATCATATATCTCTTCGTAATACAGATCATCGATAAATTGGCCTAATGAGGTCTACAGAATCACCGGTATCCTTCGAGTAAAACATATCGCATTTTATGTGCTAGGAAACTCTAACCTCGTTCATAATCCACACTGGCGTGTATCAAGCTATCAAATTCGATTGATCAGCAAGATGTTGTGATCACCTGTGGTTTAAACCAAAGAAGAACCTGTGGATCAATACATCTTCTTTTAATCCAACGAAATCCATACCATCAGAATCCCACCGGATGCGAGTTTAGTGCTTCCCTTTCTTCTCTTCGGTTGCACTACGTCACGTAATTCCAATAACTTTTTTCTTAATGGAGAATTATTGTTCCTCTAGGCCACGTTACGCCATGATACTGATTTTATGTGAGTATGATACTTGAAGATTTATATGTGGTTAAATAAATCAGGATTATTTACGTTATTCCTCTTGAAAAGCTAGGTGTGGAATTCAAAAGTTTTAGGCAATAATCGTTGTTTTACTTTCAAGTTGAAATGGGCGTTAGAGCTTAATTGTGAAAATTTCCAGTTGCTGACGCTCCACTTATCTTCCCATGGAAACTGGAAACTAAACAATCTTCAAACTTTTTCAGTATTATAGATGGTCTAAGATGTTGGCTACTTATTATTTAGGTAAATGGTAACCTGAAGAATAAGTAGCCAACATCTGTGACATTCCTTTTTTCAACAAACAGTATTTGAATATTCAATTTACATAATCCCTACCTGGGTATTAAGTAAACCAATGAGATGTTCAACTAATCTTACAATAATTGAAATATGGGGTGAAAGGTTTTATTCAAAGTCACAGATGTAAACAAAAACTAACAGTGTGTAACAGTTTGTAACATGGAAATTACGGTACACCATGTACCATCACCCCATCCTGACTCCCATGAGCACACCACTGAGTCCACCAGGGAAAGTTACAATGCTACAATAACAAATGCAATTCCTGTTCACTCACGCATAAACGTTTGGTTTAATAAACCATGAAATTCACTCAGGAAATCATGAATGTATCATATCACCGTCAATTTTGTAAGCTCCAAAGGATTTACCTCTCACAAATTGGAAGGCTAATTTCTGCGCAACCTAATGTTCATACCCTTTACAAAAGTGAGCGGTGCTCACCCAAGCATGAACTTTTTTCGGACTTTCTGGTGTCATATGAAAGTTGAGTTTAGGAGCTTTCCACACATATACAAATTTTTCCCTAGAATCATATATTTTTTTTAATTCAGCAATCATTTCAAAAGTGTATATTTTTGTTTTGGGACGCACGGTATTTTGGGCAGCCGCTACTTCTTCTTCGAATTACAGGACGTTCCTATACATGTTATATTATACCATCTATTATACTGAGGTTTTTTAATTACGAAATTATATTATACAAGTGTATAGGTTCTTTATTTACTTGATTCGATAACTTGGGACTTTTTATATTAAACCGAATCGGACACGGGACTTAAGCCCCCTGGCCATATTGTTCATGTATGGGATTGGCACTGGTTGTGGTAGTGGTGGTAACAGTAGTAGTAGTAGTAGTAGTAGTAGTAGTAGTAGTAGTAGTAGTAGTAGTAGTAGTAGTAATATTAGTAGTAAACGAAGGAGTAGAAGTAGTAATAGTAGTAGTAGTATTAAAAGTAGTAGTAGTAATAGTAGTAGTAGTAGTAGTAGTAGTAGTAGTAGTTGCTGTTTTTGTTATTGTAGAAGTAATCGTCTTCTCCGTTGTTTTCATGTTGTTAGGCGTCCATATGAGTAAACAGAATATATTTCTTGTTATTTCCCCCATTTCATTCATTAAACAGGTTTCATAATCAGCCACGTCACTGTGATAACAGGATTTCCCAACGACCTTTCAGATGATGAAGATTTTGAGGGCAGTGGAGACTGGAAAATTGCAGCCCATAAAAGTGAAAGTGATGAGGAATCCTCTGGGTACGGCTACATGGAAGCGGACGCATCCCTGAGGATTTGGGGAAACCTTGATCTACTTCCGGGTGAAGTAAAGACTGAAGAAGATTTCAATAGCATTGACATCACGTTTTCTGAGCGAAGATGAGGACAAAGACTAATGTTTAATAATATAAAAACAAAATTATTCGTTCGTTTTCATTATGCTTTTACGGGGATTCTAACAAGAGATAATTGTAAGTGTTTAAATGTTTAATGGTGATTATATTATTGTAACCACAAAATCCAACCCTTAACACAACACCATCTTGCGTATTTTCTGTTGCAGTATCAGAAAGGGGGTTAGGGGTTCAGAAAGAAGCGGCTTTACGAATTTGATAAATTAAAAAAAAAATACAGAGTTGAAAAATTGCATCAATTAGTTTTAATGATTAAGTCCGAAAAGGAAATATCGTAAATACAAATATTATTTCGATGCTTGACGGAAGAAGAAAGAAAACTGAAACAACAGAGGGTACTGAAACATTTCTATCAAACAGAGAGGGTGCGTATCATCAGTTCTTGCACTTCTAGTTCTAAGTGGGACTGGGAAATATAAATAACCAACGTGTCAAAAACCGGGAAAAGGGTATACAACTGACCAGGGTCAAAGATTAAAAAAATGATATCAATAGTTGATTATTGACTTTAAATTTCGAAATCATTTTGGCAAACTAAAATTGCTCTACCTGAAAATATAACAACGGTTGAAAAGGATAATATTTAATAAATGCTCGCACGCAGTGCTTGGCGAGAGCATTATGTAGCTGGCGCTATTCGAAATTACAAGAAAGAGGAAAGTTGGGTTTGTCTAAATTTAAGGGAAAACAAAATTGAAAAGACTTGCATAGGCCAATTGATTGGATAAACACTAAAGATTTGAAGTGGCCCTTCTAATGAAAGTGATTGCTCATGTTTTTGGTTTATTTGTTATCAAATAAAACAATAAGATACAAAAGATGATATGTCCTTTCATGTTTAACTCGGTACTACTCACATTAATATATGCTCTTGTTAACAGTGTCTGCCCTGTTGTGTGTGTTCTTGTGCGTGTATGGGTGGGTGTGTGTGGGTGTATGCGCGCGCGTGTAGTGTATTCGTTTGTGTGTGTGTGTGTGTGTGGGTTCGTGGGTGTTCGTGTTGTGGACAGGGTAAACGATTGCGATTGAGTGCATAAACCGTTTTGCTCATCAAATATATTTGGGTTGTCCTCCCTTAATTATGAGTTCCTTTTGATACAAGAAATCAAATCAAAGATGTATTTCTTCATACAATGACTGTGTTATCGTATAACTTTCTGCTATATCATCCTGTAAACACATTTTCTCTGAATACTGTGAGTTTTTAATGATTCTATATTTTGTAAAAAAAAAAAAAATATATCTATCTAATGACACTTCCTTGAAGATAAATTGCAGGATGATTTTGACATCAATTTTAAAAACAAGATAATTATGTGGATATACAGGTCACCATCCATATGTACATGACGCTCGATCAGACCAAGGAGTTTTAAGAGATGGAGTCCTATCTAGCTCATTCCCTTTGTATCATCTTCGATGCCGCCAGGAGAAAATATGCCAGGCATGAGCTTACTGGATCTTCCTTGCAGATACGTAGACAAAAAATTCCTGCCTAGCTGCAAACTAACGGGCCACTTTCAAAGGGAAATATGCTTTTGTAATGATAATTACTTTTCGCTACCACTCCTCTGATAATACGAACAGAACACGGTGTTTACCTTTACGGGAGGCAAGCGAAACAAAATGGAGCAACACTTCCTGAAATGTTAATCATAATAAGCCAGTTCACGGTCGCAGTCTGAGCATGAGCAGATAAAGGTCATTGCAGAACAAATTTTGAAATACACGGAGACGAAATACTGGATACGTGCTCATGAAAGTTATGTAATCATTATTCATTCATGCACATTCAGTGCACTCCTCCACGATACACAAATGGAAGTATTCTTTGAAAAGGGGAAACAAAGGCTATTAATATAGCAACTCCTTTGCCACATAGGAGTGATTATTTCAAAATGTACAAAGTGGGACCTTCATGTTTTGAAGATCTGTGGATATTCGGGGTCATTCAGTAATGTGCTACCCGTGAACTGGTCTATCACTCGACAAGGCATGTGTGGGCACTAATCTGACACAAAACACCATAAAGAACTGTACATGATCAAATTTATTTGTTATTTTCGTGAGCCGGAAGTAATCGGAAAAGTGTCAAATTGCAGGTTTTAGGACTACAATTTTACTATTTTTTACAAATTAAAGCTTCCAGCATACAATGTAAGCACATTTTTTTGACACAATTAGGCTTTTGTATTCCTATTTTATCATCTGTTTTATTTTCCCCTTGTTACTTCAAATAAAAAGTGATATATTAAGGATATTTCTTTGTGAAAGAAAATCACAGCTCAAGCTTTCCGATGATATTGGCGGCTTCGAACCTCGGACATCAAAGGTAACAGCACATCAGTAGATTCTATAGAGCAACCATAGAAAACGGCAGCTGATTGGAATAATTTGTTCCCAGTTGGATCTTCATCTCTTAGAATTCCTTGATCAGACACGGCCCCTACCCCCCTCTCTCTCTCTCTCTCCCTCTCTCACACACTTTCTCCCTCTCTTTCTCCCTCTCTCTCTTTTTCTCCCATGCTCATTAACCTATGGTATGCCCGGTAACAGGTGTGCCTCGAAGTTGGTTGTGGTGGAAGTGGTGTCAATGGTCATGATAATGATTAGTATTTATTGTATGTACACAAGTTATTCTTTAAAGATGACACCCCCCTCAACGTACACATGTCCGGGTAATCGGCTTTAATACGCGTGATAGTGATTTAACCAGATGAGATTAGGCTCGAGACCCAACCAGATGCATTAGCGCTGTTCACGCAGAAAGAGGAGAGTTCAAATTTAAATCTGTAATTCCAGAGAAACTGTAAGTAATATTTCAATTTGTATTCTTAGCTGGTGGATCATTTTCTTACCGAAGTAATCTTGGTGATAGAGACGATGCGTTCTGTGTAAGGTTGAAAAGGACATTCATTTGTGTATGATTCTATCGTGGACATGGTGGATTTACGTTAGAGAAAAGTATTTCTCCGAAAAGGATGGCTTTTCAAACGCCTTTCATGTTTAATGTTGATGAGAAACAGCTTTGTTCGGACCTAACTGTAATGTAATACATTTTGCAGTCCGTTAAAAGAAAGAAAAAATGGCGAGATTTTCAAGACGTTCCTTAAAACTGCAATGTATAAACCTCAGACAAGCTTTGTGCGTGCATGTAGCGAATGAAAGGGAAGGATGGAATAATTTGTGAAAGTTTTACTCCCGTTACATGCATATAGCAAGATGAATCTCCTCGTCGTCATTGGGCTACTGTTCGGCATTTTTACTACTGGTAAGTGAATTTCAATACTTTTTTTTGTATACAAAACACCCGACAAAGAAAGATCATAACAAGAATGTGTTTTAATTTTAACCCCCTCGGGTCTTTCTTCCATTTTCTCCCCTGTTAAAGGTAAAGACCAGTTATGGTCATGCGATTGCATTGTGAAAGAAACGTTGTGGAATCGATCAGAAAAGGTTGATCATCTAGCATGTAGCATCTGCAAGGTTCTGGAATCATCAAAATGATAAGGCCCATTCTTCGTAATTTGGCCCATTCTCCGTAAAGTTACAAGCACTATACACAGAAAGATGTATATGGGACTACCCTATATCTCTCACAGACCATGAGAGAAACAAATTTACCAAATATATGAATTAGTAGGCGGTTTCCCGGCAATTTTTTTTATCATCATGTAATAGTCAAAACATATTCTTTCACATGATTGGTAATGAGAGCTTCCATTTCATTTTTTGAAATTGGGGCGTTTCCAATGCTGGTCTTTACCTCTAACAACAAATACGAAAACAATGGTAATTTCAATGTAATTGCGAATAAATAAAGGGACAAATAAATAGAAAAATAAAAGGATGAATGAACGCATGAGTAATAAATGAATATGTATTGTTAACGTACTGGTAACAATGATAATGAAAATGACAATAGTAATGAAAATGATGTTGATTATGACGATGTTGATTAAAAAAGAATGACAATAATAATCATGATAACGATGATGATAATAACAGTATTAACACTACTTCTATAAATCCCTTGTGTAAATCATACACATACGAGATAATGACCTTACATTATCCGGCTAAAGCCATTGTCCCCCGTCAAGGGGCTGTGGCATGCAAGGAATCTTGCATACATGTGTCAAAGTACTTCGGTTACTCCATCGTAGGCCTATTGCTACTGGACCACATGTCGTCCACTGTCCGCACGAAGACCGTTACTGCAAGAAGACCGTTACTGCAATTGAAAATACATGGTGCTAACGGCTTTCTTGCAGACAGCCGATGATGTGTCATGCGATGGTAGATACGATATCATGCATGTGTATTTATCAGTGTCATGTTTTGTAAATCAATGCACACTGTCTTACCCTTTCCCACGACCCATTCTACATATCTCCCAATCTCTTCCTCCCGCGGAGTCATCCAGGTCATGATGCGTGCGCTGGCTCTCCCTCTCTCTCTCTCTCTCTCTCTCTCTCTCTCTCTCTCTATCAGTGTCATGTTTTGTAAATCAATGCCCACTGTCTTCGTATTACCCTTTCCCATGACCTATTCTACATATCTCCCACTCTCTTCCTCCCGCGCAGTCATCCAGGTCATGTTGCGCTCTTTCTCTCTTCATCTTCCCATCTCTCTCTTTCTTTCTCTCTCTCTCTCTCTGTCTCTCTCTCTCCTCTCTCTGTCTCTGTCTCTCTTTCTTATTCTCTCTCTCTTTCTTATTCTCTCTCTCTCTATCTATCTCTCTCTCTCTCTATCTGTCTCTTGCTATCTGGTTCTTTCATTGTCTTTCGGTAAGAATATGGTTCTTTGAATGTATCATGTCATGAGTCAATGCACTTTCTTCAACTCCCCTTCTATGCCCCATTCACCTTCATTTCTCGATTACTCTCTCTCCCTCTCTTCATCTATCATATATCTCTAGCTTAAATAAAGATATATTTATCATTGTCTGTCGGTATGAATATTTTTTCCCTTCCAAAGGGCTCCTTTATTAAATATATCGTTCACATATGTATACAAGAATACATATATATATGCAGAATTACAAAATGATATGCTTGGCCATTGAAACAATGATATATTTATAGATATCAGTTACAAATTTTAGTTCACCTTTTTGAATATCACATATTTACTTCTTATGACCAGAGCAAAATAGCCATTTTTACCAACCTCCTGCCCCCTTGTAAATCGCATCTCTGTTATTATATCTCTCTCCCTTTTCTTTTTTCCTCCTCTCCGCCCCTCCTATTACCCCACTCCCCGTCTCTTTCACCCTCCTCATACGTGTCTGTCTTTCTCTCTCTCTCTCTCTCTTTCTATGTCCACCCTTCTCTCTGCCAACACTGTTTATCAGTTGTTTGGACTTGCATCCTTGTTCCAATTTGCCCAATCTCTTCATTTTACCTACACATACATGTAGATAATATAAAATCATCGTGGTTTGAACACTATAATACACTAACATTGTAATTGTAATTGTAAAATAACCTGGTTTTGTTGATTTAAAGAAACACACATTCAAAAAGCAGACAAAGGCTGACACAAACATAATACAAAATATTTTTAAAAAATACATTAAAAAACACATTGAAAATTGGTTAAAAAAATGAAAAGGACGGACGAGAAAAAGTTGAAAAAGACATGTTTGGATACAAAATTAAATTTAGATTAACGACATAATTTACGACCAAGGTTGAGATATTTTTATTGTAACACCAAAAGTGTGACTGAGAGTAATTACAATTATGTAAAGCGTTTTTTAAAGAGTTATATATTAATCCAGCGTTTGATATAAATAAAAAAGAAAAAACATCCGACCCCTGGCTGCATATGCATGAATAATAAAAACATAGGACCAGAAATCGGATGTGTGTATCATAGTGCATCAATAGTATTGGGTATAATTATGTCAATAGGATCCCAAAATAATACAAGTTGTCCATACTATTGTAAGTTTGGAAAAATATATAGCTTAGATACCTCTAGATAAATACCAACAAAACCTTCTGTAATAACCGCCCCCCCCCCCCTCAATCCTACAATTTTGTCTTTCTACTTTTTCAACACTTAATAGGAAAGTGCAAAACTTGTCTCACGTGCAAGGAGGTAACTTCAAACGACTTCGATCTTGAGGGCATCGAACAAGAATCTTGCTCTGACAACCCTAGTGAGATGACATGCCCTGAAGGTATCTCAACGTGTATGACAGGAGTCATAGACATTGCCTATAGACTTCAATCTGGTTAGTATCTACACCTCAGAAAGTAATTAACTAACTGCAGTTATGGTGGTTGAAGTTTTAAAAACACTTTTCATTTGTTCGCCTTTCTTGAAACAGAACATTAAATTGTAACTAATTTTGTTGTCTTCATATGTTTCTTTTTTTTTGCCTTTACTTGTTCAATTCAAGTTCAAATTCAATTAATTTAGAATCTTTGTTCATCCTTTACAAAACAATTTACAGAGACGATATAATGGTTACCCTCCTAGGAAGCAAAATTCTGCTTGTAATCGGAGCCCTGTCACAAACAAGAACCATGATGAACAGAATATATATATATATATATATATATATATATATATATATATGAAAATATGACAGCGCCCCCTTGCAGCTTGATTGACGATCCACCATAATAGCAATATATATATTGGTATTATATTTATAGTCATATGTATAAATACATATATTTTTTTGAAATCATAGAGCTTAGGGCTACTGTAATTATAATTTTTCATTATTTTTAGATTTGTAATTAGAAGTATTGTTATTATCATTATCATCACCTTTATCAGTTCTCTAATTGCTCTTTCATTAACAAATAAAAATAGGACAAAACGTGACCATCAGAGATGAGAAACGTGCTTGTGCCCCAGAGGAGATCGTCTCCTCGATTCCGTCGGGAGACTACTGCGTAGAGCAGTCCGTGGTGGACGCCTACTTTTCTGACAATGACCCAGCTGAAATGTACCCCGATGTAGATGGTATGCTATTCCTCGGAATCACAAATGCAACCTTCTGCGTCTGTGACAGTGCCGACAAGTGCAGCCCACCTTCACCCTCAGTTGACTTCCCGTCAACAGGCGCAGAAGGCGGAACAGGAAGTGGAAAAGGTGAGGGCTCTCATGAAGCATTACATTGTAGTTGGAACGATTTTCAAGGTAGTCTATGGGCATAACCTCTATTCAGTATGAGTCCACAGTTAATATTAACTATAGATGTGGCACATAACATCTTAACCCTGAAAAGGCCGGGCTATTTGAGGTCTTATTACGGCCGGGGGGGGCATTATGCACCCTTAAGATCTTAAATGCAACCTTTTGTGTCTGCGACAGCGCCGACAAGTGCACCCCACCTTCCACCACCGATGATTCCCCTGCACCGAGTGCAGAGAGCGAGCCAGACTCTGCAGAAGCTGAGAGTTCCCTCGTATCACCAGGTAATACATCTTAATACAGAGTAGTCGTTGAAATGTTAAAACCACTGCAAACCCGACTAATGCATCAGCAACACTGACGAAACCGACCGACCCAAAGAAATTAATACTCTGAGCAAGATGTTTGATAGCCCGGAAAAATGGCAAATAATTGGTCAGTTTGAAATGTGACGGCGATATCATTTACTTTTTGGGAGTAAAGGAATATTACATATTAATATTTGTAAAGGTATAAATGTTCAATACACATGATTATATAAATATTGCTTAAGAAAGCGTTTACTTTAAAGCTTATATGTACTAGATTATAGAAGAGATTTGACCACCCTGCAACGTCACTGGACAGGCGGTTATCTCATCAACTCAGCTCTCAATTAACTTTAAAAAAAGAGGATCATGGGGGACCAATGTTCCCCGATTAGGCATTGTTTTTTATATAGAGGGAGCAAGTAGCTAGAAGTGGGACAGTGTGGCTTTAATATGCAATGGCGAAATTGTTCTTTTTTAAAACAATCGTGTTTTTTAATGGTGATAGATGTTTTTAATTGGTACCAAGCACTCACAATCGGTTTACTTCTAAAAACTTTTTTTTCCCCCCGCTGAACAGGACATTTTAGAACTTGCATCGCATGCAAGGAAATAACTTCAGATGATGTCGTCATGGATTTTGGTGGCAGCGAAGTTGAATCTTGCTCTGACAACCCTGATGAGATGATATGCTCCGATGGTACCTCAACTTGTATGACAGGGATCATAGACGTTGCATATAGACTTCAATCTGGTAAGTTTTTACACGTATTGGAATTACGGTGGTTAATATTGTTAAAGTCGTTTACCCCATACAAAACAAAATCAGAATCACCACCACTTTTAAATGGTACGCAGGCCGTGGGAACGTTTTTCAATTTGTGCGTGTGTGTGTGTGTGGGGGGGGGGGGGGGGGGAGGGGGGGGGGGGGCTAAAGTATTTACGATCAGGTAGAGAAAAGCAAAGTGGAGCGTAAATTGGCGTGGGGTCAAGGGGCGAAGCCCCGGCGGTGTCACTGGGCGGAGCCTCATGAAGGTAAGGGGTTTTAGGCATTTAATTAAGGTCAGATGAGCATATTTGTATACCTTTTTTGTGACACTGACATGCAGGTCACTTATTGGAGGGGGTGGGGGAGGGGTCCAAGGGCGGAGCCCCCAGAAGCTCAGGGGTTTTATGCTTTAAATTAAGATAAGATGAGCATCCAGGGTCCCACCTTAAGGCCCTTGGTGGGGTCTAGGGGCAGAGCCCTCGGAAACCCCTGGAAAAATCATGCAATTTTTAACAACATTGGTAAATAACTTGTATCGAATTAGAAATAAACCACGTTTGAATTTCATTTAGGGGAACTGCTCCCAAAGCCCTCCCCCATCAGTACGCAGGTGTGAGGGAGCATAGTGAATGCGAGGGGTGAAGGTGACGGACGTGACTCCTCCCTCACAAGTTTTGTTGTATTAACAAATCGCATTCTTACGATATTATAACAACAAGCAATATACTTTTTTCACACTTCATTTTTCTCGGTACTTACTCCAGAGTCTAAACGTAAGGTGCAGTCTTTTATCAGTATTTGCTATACATTTTTTTGCACGTTTTGAAATTTTGAGGGGGGGGGGGCGTGTCCCCCCCCCCCCCCCCCCCCCCCCCCCCTCCCCGCGATCACCGCCCCTGGACGCTACACTATAATACCAATATATATATGTGTTTTATATATATATATAATTATAGATATATATTTTTTAATCATAGAGCTTGGGGCTACTGTTATGATAATTTTTTTCTTCATTATTTTTAGTTTTGTAATTCGAAATATTGTTATCATCATCATCATCATCATCATCACCTTCATCAGTTTTCCTATTGCTATTTCATTAAAAAAAAATAGGACAAAATGTGACCATCAGAGATGAGAAACGTGCTTGTGCCCCTGAGGAGATCATCTCCTCGATTCCGTCGGGAGACCATTGCGTAGAGCAGTCCGTGGTGGATGCCTACTTTTCCGACAATGACCCAACTGAGCTGTACCCAGATTTAGATGGCATGCTATTCCTCGGCATCACGAACGCAACCTTCTGCGTCTGTGACAGTTCCGACAAGTGCACTCCACCTTCACCTACCGGTGATTCCCCTGCACCGGCTGCAGAGAGCGAGCCGTCTCCAGAAGCTGAGAGCTCCCTTGTGTCATCAGCAGGTAATACATCTTACAGACTGAATAGTCGATGACATTTTGAACCCCACTGCAAACCCGACTAATGTATCACCAACACTGATATTCATACTTCGAGCAAGATGTTATGTTCTGACAAAAGGCAAATAATTGGTCGGTTTGAAATTACCTTGGGGATGTGACGGCATATCAATTACTTTTTGTTAGTAAATGAATATAAAATATTAACATGTCTAAAGGTATAAATGTTCAATACATAATAATTATAAAAATATAGCTTAAGAAAGCGTTTACTTTAATATGCAATGGCAAAATCGTTCTGTTTTAAAACAATCGTGCTTTTTAATGATGATATATGTTTTTAACTTGTTTTCCCGCTAAACAGGAAATTTTAGAACTTGTCTCTTGTGCAAGGAGGTAACTTCAAAAGACCTCGATCTTGATGGCATCGAACAAGAATCTTGCTCTGACAACCCTGATGAGATGATATGCCCTGATGGTATCTCGACTTGTATGACAGGAGTCATAGACGTTGCCTATAGACTTCAGTCTGGTAAGTACCTACACCTCAGAAAGTAATGAACTGATTTGAATTATGGTGGTTAATATTTTTAAAGTCGTTTACCCCTCCCATCGGGGCCCTGTCTCCAACAAGATACAGAATGAACAGAATGTATTATAAAATATAGAAGATATCTTTATTTGTAAATTGAAATATGTCAGCGCCCCCTCGCAGCTTGATTGACGCTACCAGGGGCTGCGATTTCTTTTGAGAGTGGTATAATGAGTAAAACCTTTTTTTTGGGGGGGGGGCATAACAAAAATCCGCATCACCACAACTCTTAAATGTTACACAGGCAGTGGGAACGTTTTTCAAATTGCGGGGGGGGGGGGGGGGGGGCTAAAGTAACAGGCAAACGATCAGGTAGAGCAAAGTAAATTGGAGCGTAAATTGGCGTGGGGTCCAGGGGCGAAGCCCTGGCGGTGTCAAGGGGCGGAACCTCATGAAGGTCAGGGATTCTAGGCATTTAATTACGGTCAGATGAGCAATATTTGTATACATTATTTGTGACACTGGCATGCAGGTCATTTATTGGAATGGGGTCCCAGGGCAGAGCCCCCAGAAGCACAGAAAGTGTACGAATTAAATTCGTACACTTTAGGGCCCTTGGTGGGGTTTAGGGGCAGAGCCTATGGAAGCTCAGGGAAAAATTATGCAATTTCAACAACATTTGTAAATCACTGGTATCGAATTAGAAATAAACCACGTTTGAATTTCATGTGGGAAACTTCCCCCAAAGCCCCCCCCCTCCCCCATCTGTACGCAAGTGTGAGGAAGCATAGTGAATGAGAGGGGTGAAGGTGACGGAAGTGACTCCCCCTCACAAGTCGTGTTGTATCTAAAAATCGCATTATGTAGCAATACTATATTATAACAACAAGCAATATACTTTTTTCACACTTCAATTTTCTCGGTACTTACTCCAAAGCCTAAACGTATGTTGCAGTCTTTAGTTAGTATTTGATATACATTTTTTTTTTGCACTTTTTTAAAATTTGGAGGGGGCGTATCCCGTCTTCCCCCCGCGATCGCTGCCCCTGGACGCTACACCATTATACCAATATATTGTTTTATATATTATTATAGATATATTAATAATAAATATATATATTTTAAATCATAGAGCTTGGGGCTACTGTTATGATCATTTTTTTCATTTTGTTTTCAGTTTTGTAATTTGAAATATTTTTATCATCATCATCATCATCATCATCACCTTAATCAGTTTTCCTATTGATATTTCATTAACAACACAAACATAGGACAAAATGTGACCATCAGAGATGAGAAACGTGCTTGTGCTCCTGAGGGGATCGTCTCCTCGATTCCGTCGGGAGACCACTGCGTAGAGCAGTCCGTGGTGGATGCCTACTTTTCCGACATTGACCCAACTGAGCTGTACCCAGATTTAGATGGCATGCTATTCCTCGGCATCACGAACGCAACCTTCTGCGTCTGTGACAGTGCTGACAAGTGCAGCCCACCTTCACCTACCGGAGATTCCCCTGCACCGGCTGCAGAGAGCGAGCCGTCTCCAGAAGCTGAGAGCTCCCTTGTGTCATCAGCAGGTAATACATTTTACAGACTGAATAGTCGATGACATTTTGAACCCCACTGCAAACCCGACTAATGTATCACCAACACTGATATTCATACTTCGAGCAAGATGTTATGTTCTGACAAAAGGCAAATAATTGGTCGGTTTGAAAATACCTTGGGGATGTGACGGCATACCAATTACTTTTGTTAGTAAATGAATATCACATATTAACATGTCTAAAGGTATAAATGTTCAATACATAATAATTATAAAAATATAGCTTAAGAAAGCGTTTACTTTAATATGCAATGGCAAAATCGTTCTGTTTTAAAACAATCGTGCTTTTTAATGGTGATATATGTTTTTAACTTGTTTTCCCGCTAAACAGGAAATTTTAGAACTTGTCTCTTGTGCAAGGAGGTAACTTCAAACGACCTCGATCTTGATGGCATCGAACAAGAATCTTGCTCTGACAACCCTGATGAGATGATATGCCCTGATGGTATCTCGACTTGTATGACAGGAGTCATAGACGTTGCCTATAGACTTCAGTCTGGTAAGTACCTACACCTCAGAAAGTAATGAACTGATTTGAATTATGGTGGTTAATATTTTTAAAGTCGTTTACCCCTCCCATCGGGGCCCTGTTTACTACAAGATCCAGAATGAACAGAATGTATTATAAAATATAGAAGATATATTTATTTGTAAATTGAAATATGTCAGCGCCCCCTCGCAGCTTGATTGACGCTACCAGGGGCGGCGATTTCTTTTGAGAGTGGTATAATGAGTAAATCCTTTTTTGTTTTGTTTGGGGGCATAACAAAAATCCGCATCACCACAACTCTTAAATGTTACACAGGCAGTGGGAACGTTTTTCAAATTGCGGGGGGGGGGGGGGGGGGCTAAAGTAACAGGCAAACGATCAGGTAGAGCAAAGTAAATTGGAGCGTAAATTGGCGTGGGGTCCAGGGGCGAAGCCCTGGCGGTGACAAGGGGCGGAACCTCATGAAGGTCAGGGATTTTAGGCATTTAATTACGGTCAGATGAGCAATATTTGTATACATTATTTGTGACACTGGCATGCAGGTCATTTATTGGAATGGGGTCCCAGGGCAGAGCCCCACAGAAGCACAGAAAGTGTACGAATTAAATTACGATAAGATGAGCATCCAGGGTCCCACCTTAAGGCCCTTGGTGGGGTCTAGGGGCAGAGCCCTCGAAAACCCCTGGAAAAATCATGCAATTTTTAACAACATTGGTAAATAACTGGTATCGAATTAGAAATAAACCACGTTTGAATTTCATTTAGGGGAACTGCTCCCAAAGCCCTCCCCCCCATCAGTACGCAGGTGTGAGGGAGCATAGTGAATGCGAGGGGTGAAGGTGACGGACGTGACTCCTCCCTCACAAGTTTTGTTGTATTAACAAATCGCATTCTTTAGCAAAACGATATTATAACAACAAGCAATATACTTTTTTTCACACTTCATTTTTCTCGGTACTTACTCCAGTGCCTAAACGTATGGTGCAGTCTTTTATCAGTATTTGCTATACATTTTTTTTTGCACTTTTTGAAATTTTGAGGGGGGCGTGTCCCCCCTTCCCCCTCCCCCCCCCCCCCCCCACCCTCCCCCCGCGATCGCCGCCCCTGGACGCTACACCATAATACCAATATATATATATATATATATATGTGTTGTATAAATACAATTATAGATATTTTTTTTTAATCATAGAGCTTGGGGCTACTGTTATGATCATTTTTTTTTCTTCATTATTTTTAGTTTTGTAATTCGAAATATTGTTATCATCATCATCATCATCATCATCACCTTCATCAGTTTTCCTATTGCTATTTCATTACAAAAAAAATAGGACAAAATGTGACCATCAGAGATGAGAAACGTGCTTGTGCCCCTGAGGAGATCATCTCCTCGATTCCGTCGGGAGACCACTGCGTAGAGCAGTCCGTGGTGGATGCCTACTTTTCCGACATTGACCCAACTGAGCTGTACCCAGATTTAGATGGCATGCTATTCCTCGGCATCACGAACGCAACCTTCTGCGTCTGTGACAGTGCTGACAAGTGCAGCCCACCTTCACCTACCGGAGATTCCCCTGCACCGGCTGCAGAGAGCGAGCCGTCTCCAGAAGCTGAGAGCTCCCTTGTGTCATCAGCAGGTAATACATCCTACAGACTGAATAGTCGATGACATTTTGAACCCCACTGCAAACCCGACTAATGTATCACCAACACTGATATTCATACTTCGAGCAAGATGTTATGTTCTGACAAAAGGCAAATAATTGGTCGGTTTGAAAATACCTTGGGGATGTGACGGCATATCAATTACTTTTTGTTAGTAAATGAATATCACATATTAACATGTCTAAAGGTATAAATGTTTTTAGAGATATGAGTGTTAGGTATTGTGAATGGATATTTGAAAGCGTGTTCACTCGTCACACAACATAACTCTTATTTTTATTTTAGCTACGAGGAAGCAAGGTTGCACTGGCAATAAAATACATGAAAGAAAGTATTCCCTTTTCGTTATGTTTATTGGGTACTGAAACAAAGCTGACAATACACTTGCAAAGTGCAGTCAAGCAAAAGTAGCAGACTTGAAAATGTGAATATTGCACGAAGATTACATAATGATTAAGGATGAGAATGAACATGAATAAATGCGATGTACATAATGAATGAAAGCTTACGACAGAATAGAAATGGCGTCGAAAGTCCAATGAAGATGAAGAGAGATGAAAACGAAGGAAGGGGCTCACGCGATGATGTGCGGAGGCTTGAAGGCGGAGATGCAGCTTCGTATTCGTGGCTGAAGAGCGGTGAAGGATCTCGACGCTGACGCTCGTGATAAAGATGTGGTTGAAGCTCTCAGGCGAGAAGAGAAGAGAAGAGAAGAGATGTGGCGCTCGACGACGAAGCAGTGAATCGCTTGATGTCGGAGGCAAGTAGAAATGTAGACATGCAAAGCCGGCACTGGTGCTGAGTAGTAATAGTTGCTCGTTTGATGCGCCGGACTCTGATGAAGAAATGTTTAGATGAGCTGCGGTGAAATGATGAGCTCGTGAGTGGAAAGAGCTACCGGAACGAAGAAACTGGCAGCTCCCAGCGGAGAGTCAGGCGCCATGTCGGTCCTGACTATAACGTTCCACTGGGAGACTGCAGCCCGATGAACACGGCAGAAGAAGAGTTGACGTGCCGTAGAAGACGAAATAGGCACAGTAGAATAAAGCCTGGAGAGGAAATTGCGGAGACGTCTTGACTCGACCAAGGTGAAAGCGGGAGTGGAGAAAAACCTCGTGGAGTTGAAAATACGCGGGGGAACGATGCGCGGAACCACGATGCTCGATTGGAGGAATGAACACACGTGGTCCGAATAATGAATATAAATAAGTACCGTGATGGAAAAATACTGGAGACATGAATGTACGATGAAAGTAGGGCGAATGTAAGTAGGGCGAATGTAAGAGCCGCTACATTACTCCCCTGCCAACTGGCAGCTCCCAGCGGAGAGTCAGGCGCCATGTCGGTCCTGACTATAACGTTCCACTGGGAGACTGCAGCCCGATGAACACGGCAGAAGAAGAGTTGACGTGCCGTAGAAGACGAAATAGGCACAGTAGAATAAAGCCTGGAGAGGAAATTGCGGAGACGTCTTGACTCGACCAAGGTGAAAGCGGGAGTGGAGAAAAACCTCGTGGAGTTGAAAATACGCGGGGGAACGATGCGCGGAACCACGATGCTCGATTGGAGGAATGAACACACGTGGTCCGAATAATGAATATAAATAAGTACCGTGATGGAAAAATACTGGAGACATGAATGTACGATGAAAGTAGGGCGAATGTAAGTAGGGCGAATGTAAGAGCCGCTACATGTTCAATACATAATAATTATAAAAATATAGCTTAAGAAAGCGTTTACTTTAATATGCAATGGCAAAATCGTTCTGTTTTAAAACAATCGTGCTTTTTAATGGTGATATATGTTTTTAACTTGTTTTCCCGCTAAACAGGAAATTTTAGAACTTGTCTCTTGTGCAAGGAGGTAACTTCAAACGACCTCGATCTTGATGGCATCGAACAAGAATCTTGCTCTGACAGCCCTGATGAGATGATATGCCCTGATGGTATCTCGACTTGTATGACAGGAGTCATAGACGTTGCCTATAGACTTCAGTCTGGTAAGTACCTACACCTCAGAAAGTAATGAACTGATTTGAATTATGGTGGTTAATATTTTTAAAGTCGTTTACCCCTCCCATCGGGGCCCTGTCTCCAACAAGATCCAGAATGAACAGAATGTATTATAAAATATAGAAGATATATTTATTTGTAAATTGAAATATGTCAGCGCCCCCTCGCAGCTTGATTGACGCTACCAGGGGCGGTGATTTCTTTTGAGAGTGGTATAATGAGTAAAACCTTTTTTTTGTTTGGGGGCATAACAAAAATCCGCATCACCACAACTCTTAAATGTTACACAGGCAGTGGGAACGTTTTTCAAATTGCGGGGGGGGGGGGGCTAAAGTAACAGGCAAACGATCAGGTAGAGCAAAGTAAATTGGAGCGTAAATTGGCGTGGGGTCCAGGGGCGAAGCCCTGGCGGTGTCAAGGGGTGGAACCTCATGAAGGTCAGGGATTTTAGGCATTTAATTACGGTCAGATGAGCAATATTTGTATACATTATTTGTGACACTGGCATGCAGGTCATTTATTGGAATGGGGTCCCAGGGCAGAGTCCCCAGAAGCACAGAAAGTGTACGAATTAAATTACGATAAGATGAGCATCCAGGGGCCGACCTTAGGGCCCTTGGTGGGGTTTAGGGGCAGAGCCTATGGAAGCTCAGGGAAAAATCATGCAATTTCAACAACATTTGTAAATCACTGGTATCGAATTAGAAATAAACCACGTTTGAATTTCATGTGGGAAACTTCCCCCAAAGACCCCCCCCTCCCCCATCTGTACGCAAGTGTGAGGAAGCATAGTTAATGAGAGGGGTGAAGGTGACGGAAGTGACTCCCCCTCACAAGTTGTGTTGTATCTAAAAATCGCATTATGTAGCAATACTATATTATAACAACAAGCAATATACTTTTTTCACACATCAATTTTCTCGGTACTTACTCCAAAGCCTAAACGTATGTTGCAGTCTTTAGTTAGTATTTGATATACATTTTTTTTTTGCACTTTTTTAAAATTTGGAGGGGGCGTATCCCGCCTTCCCCCCGCGATCGCTGCCCCTGGACGCTACACCATTATACCAATATATTGTTTTATATATTATTATAGATATATGAATAATACATATATATATTTTAAATCATAGAGCTTGGGGCTACTGTTATGATCATTTTTTTCATTTTGTTTTCAGTTTTGTAATTTCAAATATTTTTATCATCATCATCATCATCATCATCATCACCTTAATCAGTTTTCCTATTGATATTTCATTAACAACACAAACATAGGACAAAATGTGACCATCAGAGATGAGAAACGTGCTTGTGCTCCTGAGGGGATCGTCTCCTCGATTCCGTCGGGAGACCACTGCGTGGAGCAGTCCGTGGTGGACGCCTACTTTTCCGACAATGACCCAGCTGAACTGTACCCAGATTTAGATGGTATGCTATTCCTCGGTATCACGAATGCAACCTTCTGCGTCTGTGACAGTGCCGACAAGTGCACCCCACCTTCACCCACATTTGGTTCCCCGTCAACAGACGCAGAAGGCGGGACAGGAACTGGAAAAGGTGAGGGCTCTCATAAAGCATTACGTTATAGTTTGAACTATAGAGGTTGGCACACGCGCGTACGCAGAATTTTTTCAAGGGGTGGGGGGGGGGGGGGGGGGGGGGGGGGGTTAACATTTATAAATCGGGCCGAAAATTTCGCAACGACTCAGCCAGCCGCTGAATAAGCGGTGGGGGAGGGGGGGGGGGGGGGGTAAGAGGACATTTTTTTGAAAATTTGCCATTTGGCTCCGTTGGGGGGAGGGGGGTAAGGTCACCTTCTTCGGTCAGCCATGGGAATAATTTTTTTTTTTCATAATTAAAAAAAAAGAAAAAAAAGAAGAAGCGGGGTTTAGGGGGGTTTAGGGGGGGGGGGTGATTGGGGGGGGGGGGGTTTACACACATACAAATACCAAAGGGGGGGGGGGGATTAAGCCCCCAACCCCCCTGTGTACGCGCCTGGGTTGGCACATAACATGTTAAGGGTTATTCATATATGATGCGGTAATCCGCTCAGGATTTTTGTTTAAGTGTACACGAATGGCAACTGCGCACAACAAAGGACTTCACCGAGATCTGTAATTAAGACGGTCTTCGCATGGCGGCCATCATAGATATCGGATGCTGGAAGAACTTAATTTAACTGAACTGAATATATAAACGCTTAAGGAGGGGGGGGGGTAGTTTTTGTAGAAAACAAATTTCACCATTTTGTCCGTCATTATTGTTGTAAAATTTAATAAAATATCAAGCCGTTAACGAATTAAAAATTTGATAGCTTTTACAACAATAGATTTCATGTCACTAATCATTTCTTCTTCTACCATTCAAAATATTCAACAGGAGATTTGAGAACCTGCATCACGTGCAAGGAGATAACTTCAGATGGTAACATTATAGATCCTGGTGACACCGAACTTGTCTCGTGTTCGGACAACCCTGGTGAGATGATATGCCCCGAAGGTATATCAACGTGTATGACGGGCGTGGTCAACATCGCCTACATGCTTGGGTCGGGTGAGTGCCAAAGCTCCCATTACTTTGCGTTATTTATCGTTGTAAGACTCCGCCAGCGAATTGTGAGATCTCCGTCTAGGCAACCAACGCACAAATTTTAGTTTCATTCAGTGGTTTATCATTTGATTATATTCACAAGAATAATTAGCGCAGGTTGAAATGCATTAAAGTTGTGCAACAAGCATTTAGTAGAAATATTTTAACCTTGAGTGATCACGTGCAGACTCTTCCAAATTGCATGAATATTTGAGTCCGTCCGTAATTCATTTTATTCCTTTCTTCTTTAAGATTTAAGTTTCCTGAATAATCGATTATTCTCAACGTTTATTTTCCTTAAATTAAACAAATAAACCTTTTTATGAAGGAAATATCAAAAGATTTTTTATTAATTCGGGCATTCATAAAAACAAGCTCCTCTTCGGCAGTTTTGGTTTCGCTTCCATGTTTACCATACACCTGTCATGAAATCTCTCTTTTCCCCTTCTGTCAATCATGTCAATTCTTTTGTTTTCTCATTATCCTTTTTCCGTATTACCCGTATAGGGCAAACCGTTACGCTGACGGACGAGCTACGTGCTTGTGCCCCCAAAGACGTTGTCGCCTCCACTTCTCCAGGAGACCACTGCGTAGATCAATCCGTGGTTGGCGCCTACTTTTCGGACAACGATCCGGCTGAGTTGTACCCAGATACAGAGGAAATGATGTTCGATCGCCTCTTAAACGCAACCTTCTGCGTCTGTGACAGCGCAGACAAGTGTACCCCTCCTTCTCAAGCGAGTGGTGCAAAGGCTTGGGCTAATACTGGAGGAGCTGATGGCCACACAAAGCCCACGAATAGCGTAGTGAACCTCGAATCTACTCTCGGTCTTTTTATTTGCTCGCTTATCTATGCTTTGTTTTTATTTGGCTTTAGGGATAGACGATAGAGGGCGTCTCTTTTTTGTCCCAAAAGCTAGTGAAAAGGGATAGTTACGACACCGGAAGTAAATTTTGTGTGGATGCATCATTTAATGGAGCTCCAAATAGTTCCCTCCCACCAACATATATTGTCCGTGTTGGGAATCGTTCAGGGCTCAATCCTTTAACCTATGAAATGAAGGATGACCGCACGTATGCGAGTGTCACAACCTTTTCTCTCATCCGCTATGCTTATTCTAATGAGAGTTCCTTCAAAGATTTCCCATGATGGAGAATGAAAAAATAAAAATACGTTTTTTTTTTATGTTGGGCTTTCATGTTGGAACGCTATCCAATTAAATTCTATTCAATTCAACAGTTATTAAACAGTCTTTGATTGGTCTGACGCCGGTCACTCCGGTGTGATAGGATTATCTTAAATCATGTATGATTATAAAAAATAGAGAGGGGAGAGGATGAATAGGTAAATATACCCTCAAGCGAGGGTTTATATTAGTATTTCATACGTGCAGGCCTATGTACTTATGTATTTCAATATTCATTACGCATCTTATTCTGAGTTGACTCTTCAGTTATTAGGCCTAAAATAAAAACTTGTTGTATTGGTTTCAAGACATGGGTCGATCGGTCGGAAAGTTTTTTTTTTTTTTTTTAAACTTTTTCTTGTCCCCCTTTTTGGGCCGTTTTTTTTCAGATTTGAATATTTTGTTCTTTCTTCTTTTTTTCCCCGTCCTCTTTTGGCTGATATGTCTCAGTTTTTAATGCTTTTATACATGTGTATCAACGTCATCATTCCATTGATATCTTTTGCACCTCATAATCACCCATGGTTTGCACGAGTGATAATTTTGGAATAATTTGATGTTATGCATTTATATCCCATTTAAACAAACAAAATATATATTTGTTATTCATTTATTTAAACAAATCTAAAAAACAGTTAAACAAAAAAACTTGTTTTAAATGCCGACCGTATATTTTCAGATTTTTGGGTCGGTCGCAAAGGGCAATACAACACGTTTTTATTTTAGACCTTAAGGAATTTCGGCAGTAGTGACTCATGTTCGTGCGCACATCAGCTGCGCGGGGCCAGCTGATTATGTATTACCATGTACAATATCAGGAAATCCAGGCATTGTGCATTATGACAAAATTTAACCAACTGGCCCTGCGAAAAAAGCTGGTCCACTGCAAACCTAATATTGTAAAACCAAATGACAAATGTATATAAGATCGAAAGTCCTTTATTTTGTATATTGATCATTTACAAAATTTCATTTAAAACAGTTGTACAAACATTCAAAAGGCTAGTGTATGCTTTGTTTAAAAACAAATACAATGAGAATACAATCTATCTAATAGCTCCATGATATTACTATGTACGTGTTTTGCTTTGGTGTGTGGGAGTGTGTGTTCGTTTGTGTGTGTGCGGAAGGAGTGCGGGCTAAAAAACGATCTCAAGAATAATAGATTTTTAATTATGTATAATTTTAAATCAATTCCAGGAACATAAAGGAGGATAACAATAAAACAGAATTCAAGACAACGAATGACCATAGTTGTAATAAAAACACGAACATAAGAAAAGGAACAACCAACGAATGCCTGTCGATAACCAAACGAATTAAAGTTTGGGTAGAAAGCTCTCCTCATTAGCTGATGTTATAATACAAAAATATACAATGATTACATAAAATATACATAATGCAATACTCGATTTCACGAGATCGTAAATGCGTATTAAGTATAAATGGCGCAGATTGCATGAGTGTGCAACTACAACCACATTAACATTGATTTGCAAGAAACTTGCTTTGTTAACAGACTTTCACACAAATTAAAAAATTGAAACAGTATATCATTAGCAACGGGTAGTTAAACGATGTATTAACATTTTCATAAACGAGAAAAGCAAGCTAAGCAATCATTGTCCTAAAAAAGATGCTTTTACTTCTTATAAAGAAGAACAATGTAAAGCAAATCGAAAAGGTAAGCTCTCATTTCACCGTAGAAAATAAGAAAAGAATGCATCCACCTTTTACTTTGTACTATTTTTATATTTTACTGTATTTATTGTTGACCTGGTGACCTCTTTATGATAATTCATAAACAGGTGATCAAGGTATTAAATAAACGATTTATTGCCTCCTTCCGTAGAATATGTTTTGCGAACTGAAAAGTAACAATATTACATCATTGACAGTTCTTGTTGTTTAAATGTATTACAAAGTTTTGGTATGCGGTCATGAATTTGGTTCAAAAAAACATTTTGGAAACGTTTGTAATTCTACAATATAGTTGCTGCGGTTGAAATTGAGTCTAAAGTAATGAAATTGTAAATAATAAAGTCTCTCGTTGTTTAGCTCCCTTTCAAGGTCAAGATATTATTTTAGCTATCAAACAATGTTTTTTTGACTAAAATCGACCGATTGGCTATTTCCGTTCGGAAGTTATATATCAATACTACATATTCTGAGATTTTGATGGTCGCAGCTACCAGTGTATGGCCGTATGCACTATTTGAAAATTATCGAAATTTACCGGGAGCACTCGAAGGCAGAAGTGTTTTAGGGGCTACATTTTCTATTGTTTTTAATACATTCATAGGGGCATCCAAATATTTCAAAATTGTAAAGAATCACTATCCAGCCAATTTTCTAAATTTACCAAAACTTTGTTTTTACCTTTAATGCCAGGCGCATTAGATTGTATACAAATATACAAATGATGCACAGGTTTGATTGCGTCGGTAGGAATTGTGTGCACAAGGTACCTTTAAATGGTTTTAGACCAAATTCAAAGGTACCGTGTGCATACAATTCCACCGACCCACAGAATAAACCTGTGCATCATTTTTTTTTAAATGGGGCCCCATATTTGGCACAAACACACAAATCTGTTATTTTACAGATTTACCAGGTGCATGGCAAATCATGCTTTCCGGTAATTACCGGACACATGATTTTGCCATAGCCATGCTTTCTGTAATATGATTTGCTATGAATATCATGAAAACTATTTTTTTTTTCAAAATTGTCAGTGCACATAAACTGTAAACTCTTAACAAAATAAAAAAAATAACATAATTATAAAAAGAAAAAAAAAGGAAACAAAATAAGAATTATCAAAAAAGAAGGAAAACAAATATTTTATATTACCGGTATTATAAATGCCACGCCCATGTAATAGTTCAAGGGTAACATTCAAGTTACCGGAAATAGTTTAGTCTTACTTAAAAACTGGTTTGAGCGATCGCGGATACCATACATTGTGTGTGTGTGCGAATAATTGGTCGCTAGACAGCAAGAACACCAAAAGGGTAGGCCCTACGTTTTATTATTAGCCGTAGATCTAGGTCTAGATATAGATTGTGATTTTATTGCTTGCTATAAGGGTGATACAGGTTTTGAAGATTGTATAATGCAAGTGTCTGAATTCATTTTTGTGGATGAAAAGTTGAATTCTACGCCGTTTTGTGCGTCATTGCAGCGCTGAATTTGGTGTGTTTGTCGCTAATTTCTGACAAATTTAGATAGCTTTCCTGATGGTATTTCATGCAAAATTTCTGTTATATTTATAAGCTCTGAATCTTGTCCTTACCTTTGACTTGTTTCTTGTCTGTTAAAGTCATTTAATAGATGAATTACTTGAATTCTGAGCACATTTCAGTAACACCAAAAATCCAATTCTATAGCGAAAGACTGCCGCTTGTAACATTATACATGACACTTAACACTTTCAGCACACAGCAATATTATGAGTAAAGTGGTTAATCTATTTCTATAGCGAAAGACTGCCGCTCATATTCAAATTACATAGTACATTTTACAAACTGTCCTTCCAGCGGAGATGCGAGATTCGTCGATGATGTCGTACTCGGATTTAGTTTGAAGAAACAATTGGTAGCTATGCCTACTTGCTATGGTAGATCATAGATGACGTCGGTAATCATAATACAGTTAAAAAATGAATGATGAATGAAAGCCAGAGTCCGCAATGTCGATCGGATGCGAAGTCCATGTATGGCGATGGTGAAACTTGGTATAGACTTCCACGTCGACGGTGATCGAAGACAGATCGAAAGTCGATAACTTCATCATTAGCCGGAGTCAGGATCAGACTTGCAAACGACGAAACGCAAATCGAAGACGAAGACGGTAAAAAGGAGGTTCTTACCTTCAATCAAAGTTCGACGTCGACGGTGTTTAAAGACAGAACAAAGTTAGATAATGCCAATGTCCAATTCATTATTAGAGTTCGCCAAAAACTTCAAAGTTCAAACGCCAAAAGGGAGGTCAACGGCGAAGACATGGTGATGGTGGCGTTGATGTTTTGGTCAAGATGATGATACAGAACGACGTCGATATGGAAACTACTCGTTTGTCATGTTGCGTATATATCTGTAATTTAAAAAAGACAATTTTGAATAAGAGTTTATAACAAAAACAAATATGAATATCGACAACTGTCAACATTAAATCACACATGCAGTCACAGAGCAGAGGCAGACATGAAATCGATTCGCTTAATTCGTTATTTGCTGGATTTTTATGCAGTATTCTATTTTATTTTCTAAAAAGAATAACACATTCAATCCTGTGTAACACTATATACTACAGTAGAGTTAATGACAATGTGTATGTAAATGGACAAACTTAGCTTTGAATGATATGCCCCATAAACTCATCAAGATACTACAACAAATTACGTACATGGGGTCATACATGTTCAGTCTTAACTGTTATCCTGTCGAGGGTGTTTAAGTCCCAGTTGCCATAAATAACTATCTAGACATTGACTAGATCTATGTACATATTGTAAATGAAGTAGATAATTAATAAACTTACCCATACTGTTGTAGATTAGCCGGGGAAAACAGAATTCAGTATGATTTTGCAGATTTAAAACACCACGAAAACACGAGACATGTAGCTGGATTGTGAATATAGTGCACGTAGTTAGCTAGCTGCATGTACACACATGTCCAGTATAGGCTACACTGCACTGCACTGCGATACAGCGATCCTTGATCGGCACATTGCCAAAACCATTCATACATGCGGGGATTCACACAGCAGCTTTTGTTTTTTATGAGGGATAGATGAAATGCATGCAGTGCGACACTGGGATGTTCTGATGGTTGTGATGTGAGATGCTTAATGTTAGCGTGCTAGCGTGTGGTATGCCAGTTGAGATCGCCATATGCCATGACACGTCATGGCGATCTCAACTGGCATTGGTAATAATCAAGCACTGCTAGATCGCCATTATGCTGGTATTTCTTTTTATTTCATTACAGAACATTTTGAATTTTACAAAGTCCGATTGTTTCTTTAATAATTCTGTCGAAATGTTTCTCTTTTTTAAGTCTTCTCTCTCTATCTCTCCCTCTCCCTCTAATTTTCCTTAATTTGTACCAGTGTTTTTCTTTAGTATGTGATAAGCACGTCATGGCATATGGCGATCTCAACTGGCATACCGCACGCTAGCACGCTATCATTAAGCATCCCACATCACAACCATCAGAACATCCCAGTGTCGCACTGCATGCATTTCATCTATTATACAGCACATTCAACGGAAACAGCTCTGACACAAGTTAGAGGTCAGCGCCATTGTAATTCTGATATGCAATTCTCACGCTCCATGTGACTTCTTCCCCAGCTCCACCGTTCTGGTAAGAAATTTGCCCTTATTTCTTTAATTTTTACCTCCGATTTTTAAAGATAAAGACCAGTTATGGTCATGCGATTGCATTGTGAAAGAAACGTTGTGGAATCGATCAGAAAAGGTTGATCATCTAGCATATAAGTATTGGTGTGTACTGCAAGGTTCTGGAATCATCAAAATGATAAGAAATTTGGCCCAGTCTTCGTAAAGTTACAAGCACTGTACACAGGAAGATGTATATGGGACTACGCACATGTGCGCGACACGTGTGTTTATCTCTCACACACCAATAGATAAACTAATTAACCAAATATATCAATTAGTAGGCGGTTTCCCGGCAAAATTTATATCATCATGTATTAGTCAAACATACTCTTTCACATGATTGGTAATAAGAGCTTCCATTTCATTTTTTGAAATTGGGGCGTTTCCAATACTGGTCTTTACCTTTAAATTCAGGAGGTAATTAGGACCAAAAGTCCAACAAAATTCATCAAGGCCACTGTCCAATATTGGTCGGGTGCGGGAAAGTGTGATGGTGGACACATTTTAGGTGTTGTTTACATGTTTCTCCGTGGGACCCTATGGGAGCAAATTAAGGCTCCGTGGAATATAATATCATTAAAAAACATTTCCACGGAGCCCTTAAGGCTAGTATGAGTTACATCGGAAGTCTTATTCCTTTTAGAAATGACAATGCATAACATACAGACGGGATGTTATATATCGCTTCATCTATATATGTAGATATGTTTAATACAATGTATTCAGGTGGTTTAATACATTATTTAAGCTGGGGCTCATTGTCGGCCATTTAGAGTGATAGTTTAAGTGAGAAAGTTGAGTTAGTAAATACATGACTAATAAAACAAAACAGAGTAAGCTTATAAACTGGAAATGTTTGCTCTATAAATGGAAGTTTGTGAGTTATGATGTAAACAAAGGACTATAGGGGTTTAATCTTACATTTGATTAACAAGATGTTGTTTTGGTGACGTTTAGATTAGTCTTCGTATTTGAGCGGGAAAGTTTCCTTAGTCTTATTGAGTTTGCTATAATGAGGTTACATTTCAAGGAGTTAAAATAGTATTTTGATTGATTTCAGTTTCAGAACAGGGCATAGAAACCGCACTGTCAGAAACTTCTAGATTTGTTTATCTGTTGATTCAATGATAGTATATGTCGAGCTTGAAGGGGATACAGTTAATTTGATGTAGGCATTTAGCTTGATTAACTTAATTGATGTTTGGATATATCGGTCTTCATTTTTATGTGCAAAGATTGTACAAGTATTAATGATCCTTTTGTGTCTCATTTGTATTCACAGATTGAATAGAATTGCAGCTTGATTTTCAAGCTCTACCTATGCAATTCAAAGCGGCATTGCTGGTTTTAATTCCTTATCTTCAGTAATCCAGAAGGCAAGTACCTTTAAATATTGATTCACCCCCCCCCCCCTTCCTCGGGTAATCGGTTTACAATTACGCGTGGTATTTGAGATTCAGCTCGAGCCAACCAGGAGCATTGTTGCGGTTCACGGAGGTAGAGGACAGTTCAAATTTAAAACCATATTCCCAGAGAAACTGTAAGTATTATTTCAGTTTGTATTCTTAGCTGGTTGATCATTTCTAACCGATGTAATCATGATGATGAAGAATGCCGATTTCTGGTGAGGGTTACAAAGGTTGTTCATTTTTTTTAAATGATTAGTGAGGACATTGTAGAATTACATCAGAGAAAAGAATGGCTCTAGATCTTAAAATGTCCTTCATTTGTTAATGTCTTTCATTTGTTAACGTCTAAGTTTGACGCGAAATATAGTTATGTTTGGACCAAAATTAAAAAAAATATGTTAGAAGAAAAGAAAAGAAGGGGGGGGGGGCGTTGGGGGATGTCCAACATTGCCTCAGACAAGCTGTGTTCATGCATATACTGAATGAAAGGAAAGTATGTAATAATGTTCTTACTCCCGTGACAGGTATACCGACATGAATGTCCTCATCGTTATTGGGCTACTTTTTGGCCTTTTTACTACAGGTAAGTGATTTTCGATACTTTACTTATACAAAATACCCGACAAAGAAAGACCGTACCAAGAGCAGGCTTCATTTGTAAACACTTCATGTTTTTCTTCCATTTTCTTCCCTGTTACCAATATATACGAAAACAATGGTACTAATGCATGAATACAAAAATGAAAAATATATAAATCAAAGGATGAATGAACGCATGGATAATTGATACATTTATTTTTGTTTGTATGATATTCGTACTGATAACAATTATAGTTCGAATGTCAATGATGATGTTGATAATGATGTTGGTCATGACGATGTTGATACTAATACTAATGACAATACTAGTATTGATGATAACAATAATAATAATAATACTACTAACACTACTATTACAAATCCCATGTGCTTATCATGTGCAAACTGAATGATCACCTTTGAAGAAGAAAACAAAAACGTTATTCGGCTAGAGCCCTTCTGCTCCGTCAAGGGCCTGTGGCATTCAAGGAATCTCGTATGGGTCACAGTACTTCAGTTACTCCAGCGTAGGCATATTGCCACTGGACCACATGACTCGTCAGCTGTCTGCAATAAAGGCCGCTACTGCAAATAAAGTTTAAAAAGCTATTAAGCCCCACTGTCCTACTTCTAGCTTCTTGCTCCCTTTATATAGCAAACTTACCCAATCGGTGCATGTTGGTCCCCCATGATCCTCTATTTCTTATGTTATTTGAGAGTTGAGTTGATGAGATAGCCACCTGTCAGTGACCTCGCTGTGTGGTCTATTCCCTCCTTGCCAAACTAGTACTGACGGTCTTTAAGGGGCTTTCTCACTGAGCGGCGAATGATTATGAACGTTACGAATTTGGATTCGCTATTTTTTCTGACGAAGGTTGGCGAAAATCAGCGACTTTTAGTGATGTTTAGCGACATTTAGCAACATTTGAGCAAATGCTTCCGAAAGTCTTTGCAAAAGGCAATAGGTGACTATTAGTGACGATAAGCAAATGTTAGCGACATTTTTTTGGCGAAAATTTGCAACTATTTGCCAATCCGTTGCCACTATTTGTGAACGTTTGTAACTCCTGGTACTCGATGGGTCAATTCTATATGAACCATATTTCACTGAGCAGCAAATGCTTGCGAACGTTGCGAATTTGGATTCGCCAACTTTTCTGACGAATGTTGGCGAAAATCAGCGACATTAAGTGACGTTTAGCGACAATTAGCAACATTTGAGCGAATGTCTCCGAAAGTGTTTGCGAAAGGCAGTTGGCGACTATTACCGACTGTAAACAAATGTTAGCGACAACTTTTGCGAAGATTAGCAACTATTTGCCAATCCTTTGCCACTATTTGTGAACGTTTGAGACCTTTTTCTAACTACTGGTACTCAATGGGTCGATTTTATAAAGGAACCATATGGTAACGTGGTCGCTAGCTTTGGCGAAAAACAGAGAACTGACGAAAACAAAAAGCAAAACCGTTTAACAACCGTTCGCAAAGGCTTACGACTGTTTTGCAAACGCTAACGACTGTTTTGCAATCGCCTGCAACTGTTTGCGGAAAAATAAATTCGCAAAGAAATTTTGAACATGTTAAAAATTTTGAACATGTTCAAAATTTCTTTGCGACAAGAAAAACTGTTTACAACAAAGAAAACTGTTTGCGATCTTTCTTGCAACCTTTTATAACATTTTACAAACTCTGCCGAAACCCCAAATTCGCTACGTTCGCAAGCATTCGCCGCTCAGTGAGATAGGCCCTTACGTGGTAGCTAGCATTGGCGAAACAAAAAGAACTGGCGAAAACAAAGAGCGACACCGTCTTTATACAACCGTTTACAAAGGCTTACGACTGCTTTGCAAAGGCTTACGACTGTTTTGCAAACGCTTGCAACTGTTTTTGCGGGAAAATAAATCCGCAATTTTTGCTTGAACATGTTCAATAGTTCTTTTCGACAATGAAAACTGTTTGCTAACTTTCTTGCAACCTTTTGCAACCTTTAAAGTACCCTGGCGAAACCCCAAATTTTACGTTCGCAAGCATTCGACGCTCATTGAGATACCCCCTTTCGGCCTTCTTGGGGACAGCCGACGACGTGTCATGATATAATGGTAAACATGATACATGCATGTGCATTTATCAGTGTCATGTTCTGTTAGTCAATGCACACTGTCTTCATGTTCCTCTTTCCTATGCCACATTGTACATATCTCCCTCTCTCTCTCTCTAATGTAATTATAGAACGTGTCCACTCTCCAAATTTCTTAGGAGTTATTATCGATCAACATTTATCATGAATTGAACGTATATTTACTATATCTAAAGGAAAATATCACGGAATACAGTTGTGTCATTAGCAAACTGCGCCACCTTTTGCCTTGTCTTCACTTCTCTTATTTTGTGTTTAAAGTTCAATGTATACTTTACTATATATCCTATGTGAAATTATGTTCTCCATTTAAAATATGTTTTCAATGTACTTTTTTTAAATGGACTTAAATTAATTAAATTGAATTGAAAAATTGAATAATAGTTATCGCCATTCTGTTAAGTTTGAAGAAAAAACAACGGTTTACAGACCTTTAGTTAAATACTTAACATAGCCTTCCTTCGTAATACCCCCTTCCCATCTTAATGATATTATTCTGTCTTTTCTTTCTTCAACATTTGATAGGAAAGTGTATAACCTGTCTCCTGTGCCATGAGTTACCTTATTTCGCCCCATATTCTGGTTACGCACATCAATCCTGCTCCGGAAACCTTCATGAGATGATATGCCCTCAGGGTATCTCAACTTGTATGACTTGGACGGGCAACTATGTGCATGAAACTTCCTATGGTAAGTGTCTACACCCCAGAAAGTAATACACTTACTGGACATATGGTGGTATAAATGTAAACAGTGGTTTACCCCCCCCCCCCCTCCCCTGCCTCAAACTTAATATGGCAAGAAGGAAGAAGTTTAAATCAAAAATATTATGAATACTAGTAAAAACAAGTTTTTTTTAGCATCTCTGTCTAGATTGTCTTTCTGTAACTAACAAAATACACAAATCAATTTTTAGCCTTTATTAGAAAACTTAATGGGGAAAATGTTTATGGTTATTTTTGACCGCCCACAGCAAATTAGTAGTTCAGACCACTTTTGTGAATTCTAGGCGATGTAGTTCTTGACCAATAACAAAATAAAGCAAACACAATTACAAACTACAATCAAACATGAAAAAAAAAGAAAAAAGAAAAAAGAAAAAAACGATTTCCCCTAGCACCATCCCGTCAAGGAAACTTTACCGTTTTATCATCATTCCACATCAAAATAAAAATAAAAATACCTTTTTCATTTAATAACAGGCTTCAGCAGGGCTAGGGTGCATATACCCCTTTAGAATTGCAAGCAAAGAGAACAATATAAAGAGAAAGCAAAGGAAAGGATTACCAGAATAATGACATCCAACACTCGTCTTTTTTCACCGCTAAACCGAAAAATACATGTCCATGTACTTTATTATCATATCTTACTTTGTTTTATATATTTTTATGTATTGTATTGTAAATATGTTATGCTCTCATACCCCTGAAGGGGGTCGATAGAGTCAAAAATAATGTTATCTTATCTTATCTTATCTTATCTAGCGATTGGGGTTATAATTATCTTAATGTTATTATTATCAAACGAATCATTATTATTATATCTTTAATAATCATAATCATAATTTTAATTATAATGATTATTAACATTATTGATAATTTGCTTTACTATTATCATTACCATCAACAACGAAATCAGTACTACTATGGCTCTGTTCATCCCAACAGCTTTAGGATCACTTCATAGCCACCCATTTAAACGACGTAGTTGTGCCTCTGAAGACATCGTCTCCTCGATTTCTTCGGGAGACCACTGCGTAGAGCAGTCCGTAGTCGACGCTTACTTTTCCGCCGTACTGAATTCATCTACATATACTTTTCTCAAGTTCGTTGGCATCACAAACGCAAGCATCTGTGTCTGCGATAGCACCGACAAGTGCACCCCACCTTCCCCCACCTTTGATTCCACTGCAGTGGGTGCAGAGAGCGTGCCAGGCTCTGGAGAAGCTGAGGGCTCTCCTGAAGCATCAGGTAATATAGCTGGCGGAGTAGACGTACCGTTTTAGAAACCACTGTCAAACGGACTAGTACATCAGTAACACTGACGAAAGGGTACACGTTTTCAATAAATACTATTATAAAATAAAGCTAAAGAGAGTGTTTACTAATTAAGTTACAAAATAGTTCTAGTTTAAAACAATTCTTTTGTAGTATAGTCGCTTACATGTTGACGCCACTGCCAAAAACATTAGTCCATGGCTAACACTTTCGAGCCCGACCCCAGAACGAGAATACTCCGAGCAAGATGTGATATATTCCGACAAATTACAAACAATTGGTTGGTTTGAAGTTAACTCATACTATCATTCGTTTTCAGTTAGTAGATCACGTTTACAATTTGATATCTTCAAAGGTATAATGTTCAATAAATATATTAAGAATATAGCGTCTACTAATAATCCTAATGGCGAAACAATTCTGGTTTTCCACATTTTTCGATATGGAGGTAGATATTTTGAATTGCTACCAAGCACGACGATTCTCGTTTCTTCTAATATTTATAATTTCTTTCCCCCGCTGAACAGGAAATTTGAGAAGCTGCATCACGTGCAAGGAGATAACTTCAGATGATGTCGTCATAGATCCTGGTGACACTGAACTTGTCTCGTGTGCGGACAACCCTGGTCAGATGATATGCCCCGAAGGTATCTCAACGTGTATGACGGGCGTGGTCAACATCGCCTATATGCTTGGGTCGGGTGAGTGCCAAAGCTCCCATTACTTTGCGCACGAGGCGTTATTTATCGACGTGAGACTCCGTCAGCGAATTGTGAGGTCTCCGATGAAGCATGTGATGGCTGATTGAAAAAATAGACAACGACAAACTTAAGTTTCATTAATGGTTTAAGATTTGATTATATTAAAAAGAATAATTAGCGCAAGTTGAATTGCATGGAAATTGTGCGATATGCATTTAGAAAACAGATTTTGACCTTGAGTGATTCCGTGCACACTCTTCTCACTTGCATGAATATTTAGCATTTGGAATTTGAGTCCGTCCGTTATCCATTTTATTCCTTTGTTTTTAAGATTTAGGTTTCCTAAATGAACGATAATTCCCAACATTCATTTTCCTCGATTAAGCAAATAAACCATTTTATGATGGAAATATCAACAGGTTTTTATTCATTCGGGCATTTCTACAAACAAGCTCCTCTTTTTTGCAGTTTTTCTTTCGCTTCCGTTTTTACTATACAACTGGAATAAAATCTCATTGTTCCCCTTCTGTCAATCATGTTAATTATTTTGTTTTCTCATCATCCTTTTTTCCGTATTACCCGAATAGGGCAAACCGTTACGTTGACGGACAAGCGACGTGCTTGTGCCCCCCAAAACGTTGTCGCCTCCACTTCTCCAGGAGACCACTGTGTAGAACGATCCGTGGTTGGCGCCTACTTTTCCGACAATGATCCGGCTGAGTTGTTCCCAGATACAGAGGAAATGATCTTCGATCGCCTCTTAAACGCAACCTTCTGCGTCTGTGACAGCGCAGACAAGTGCACCCCTCCTTCTCAAGCGAATGGTGCAAATGCCTGGGCTAATACTGGAGGGGATAATAGTCGCACAAAGCCCACGAATAGCGCAGTGAACCTCGAATCTACTCTCGGTCTCTTCATTGCCTCGCTTATTTATGCCTTATTCTGTGGGTTAAAGGATATGCGATAGAGGGCGTCTCTTTGTTGTCCCAAATTGCTAGTTTAAAGGGATAGTTACGACACTGGAAGTAAATTTTGTATGGATCCGTCATTTCATGGATCTCCAAATAGTTTCCTCCCACCAGCATAAATTGCTTGTGGGGGGGGGGGGGGGGAATTCTTTGGGGCTCGATCGTTTGACACTATGAGTGATGACAGCGTGTACGCGCATGTCACAAACATCTCTCCCATACGCTATGCTTATCATTAGAGATCATATAAAGAAAAGATTCATCATCCCATATTGGAAAATGAAAACATCACATGTTTTGTATGCAAAGATGGGGTGTTCATGTCGGAACTCAATTGAATTGAATTCTCTTCAAGACAACGTCTTTGATTGTCGTGGTGCCGGTCACGCCGGAGAAACATAGAGAGGGTAGAGGGTGAAAAAGGGAATATACCCTCAAATCGAGGGTATAGATTAGTATACCATACGTGCGGGAATGTATACTTATGTATTTTAATATTCATTACGCATCTTATTCTGAGTTTGGCTCTTCAGTTATTAAGGACGTTCGGCAGTAGTAACTCATGTTCGTGCGCACATCAGCTGCGGGGGGCCAGCTGATCAGGTATTTACCATGTACAATATCAGGAACTCCAGGCATTGTGCATAAGGAAAATATTTAACCAACTAGCCCTGCGAAAAAAGCTGGTCTACCACAGTCCACTGCAAACCGAATATTGTACAACCAAATGAAAAATAGATATAAGATCGAAAGTCCTTTATTTTGTTATCTTGATCATTTACAAAAGTTCATTTAAAACAGTTGTACAAACAATCAAAAGGCTAATGCATGCATGTTTTGATTAAAAAACAAATTTAATACAATGAGAACAATTATATTACTATGTACGTGTTTTGTTTTGATGTTTTATGTGTGAGCCGAAGGGGGCGGGCTAAATACCGATCTGAAGACTAATACATTTGTAATTATTTATAATTTTAAATCATTACCAGGAACATAAAGGAAGATAACAATAAAACAGAATTCATGACAACGAATGACCATATATAGTTGTAATAAAAACACTAACATAAGAAAAGGAACAGCCAACGAATGCCTGTCGATAAACAAACGAATGGTGTAGGTAGGAAGTTCTTCTCATTAGCTGATGGTATACAAAAACGATGTATGTACGTTTTCATAAACAAAAAAAGCAAGCCAAGCATTCATAAATAAGTATATTAAATTGAATAAATCGAAAAGGCAAGTTTCCATTTCACCATAGAAAATGAAAATAGAATACAGCCACTTTTTAATTTGTACTAATTTTACTTTTTATTGTATTTATTGTTGACCTCTTTATGAGAATTCATAAACAAGTGATGAAGCTATTGATTAAACTATTTATTTATATGCATCAACAATTATGCAAACGATTTATTGCCTCCTTCCGTAGAATATGTTTTGAGAACTGAAAAAGTAACAATAAAACATCTTTGACATTTTTTTTTCTCTTGGCTTTTCATATGTTACATTGTATGAACTATGATATGGAAAACAGAAACGGGAGAAACGCCGCTCAACGGCTCCAGGAGCGTTTGCGATTCATTTGATGTGGCAACGAAACCGGGATACCATCAGGGGCCCGTTTCACAAAACTTATCATTAGTGGAAAATGACAGTATTTGTTATAAGCTACTGAAATCCTTGCTTCCGATTGGTTACCAGCTGATCTGTCACTGATTTTTGTCATATGTCATTAAGAAGAAGGCTTTGTGAAACGGGTCCCTGGTGTATTTTCTTGTGTTGTTGTTGTTTTTATTTCCGTATAAAAAATAATCATATACAAATACAAATACAAATATACGGCTGGTTGCCCATATTCAGCTGCAACGATAATTGTTGCTGCTGGTCTTCCATGGGGCCAGTTTACAATATACAAAATATACATAATATTACAAATTAAAAAAATAAATAATTACAAAGTATCAGTCGAAAACTTAATACAAATACTTAAAGGAAAAACAAACAAAAAACGAACAAATAAACAAACAAACAAACAAAACAAACATCATATAAACATACATGAAGAGGTACTACAACAAGGTGATTATAGTCTGTTTAGGTTAGTCTTAAAGGTGGCAAAAGTGGGTAGTTGACGCAAATCAAGGGATAATTTATTATATTGAAAAGAAGCTCTGTACACAAAAGTTCTTTTACAATAATTAGTTCTTGGTTTAGGTAAAGAGAGATTATATGCATTACGGAGGGAGTATGGAGAGGGTTTAAACTCAAATATGTCTTTCAAATATTCAGGGGTCATGTTATGTATTGTTTTGTAAGTTAGGAGTAATAAATGGATTTGTTGCCTTTCACGTATCATTTGCCAACCAAGACAGCTATGAATTTGACTGGTAGAAGTATGCGAATAAGGGTTAACTTTAAGTATGATTCTACCGGCCCTATTTTGAATTTGTTGAAGTTGTATTAAACTGTTACTGCAGGCAGATTGCCATACTACATCCCCGTAATCAAAGTGCGGCAATATGATGGAATTATAGATTAATTTCAATTCAGACATATTCACAAATTGTCTTAGTCTACATAAATAACTAACCATTTTACTTAGTTTGTTACACGTCTGTTTAATGTGAACATCCCATTTTAATTTTTCATCCACATGTACACCGAGATATTTAAAGCTTTTTATTTGGGACAACTGTTGTTCTTTGATTTTGATATTCAAAAGCGGTTGTTTTTTAAGCATGTTATGTGTTCCTAGTAAGATGCATACAGTTTTGTCGTAATTGATCTTTAAGTTGTTTTTATTCATCCACGCATCAAGGCCATAATTTCTTTATTTAAAACAGTTTCCACCACTTTTGGATTTTTATGTGAATAATAAATGATTGTATCATCTGCATAAAGATGGACCTTGCAGGTGTTGAAAGCAGAATTGATGTCATTTATAAAAAAATAATGAACAACAGGGGCCCCAGCAAAGAACCTTGCGGCACACCTTTCGTAGTTAATCTTTCATCAGAAAGGACATTATTTACCGAAGTTCTTATTCTTCTGTTTTATAAATAGTGTTTGAACCATTGTAATTCTACACCAATTACACCCATATAGATTCAAGTTTAGATACAAGGATTAGGTGATCAACCATATCAAATGCTTTTTGCAAGTCTACGAAAATTGTTCCAACGTAATTACCTTTATCGATAGAGTAAAACCAATCATCTGTGACTGCGGCTAGTGCTGTCACGGTGGAGTGTTTTCGACGAAAACCTGACTGATTTTGGGAGAGCAAGGAATGACACTTTAAATAATCAAGCAATTGTCGCTGAACGACTCTTTCCATAACTTTAGAGGCGCAAGGCAACAGTGAGATCGGCCTATAATTATTGAAATCAAGTTTATCTCCTTTTTTGTGTATTGGTATTACTTTTGCGACTTTCCATTTGTCAGGCACAACCCCTTCCGATAAAGATTTGTTGATTAAAAAGGTAAAAGATTCAATCATTTCAGATATTGACTCTTTAAGAATATACATAGAAATTTCATCTAACCCGACGGACTTTTTTGTTTTCATTGACATTACTTGTTTCAAGACATAAGATTGAGATACATTAACAAATTTAAATTTTCTGTCAGAAACCTTTTCACCATGGACAGTTAAAATTTTTGTGAACAAGTTGTTTAAAAGTTTAAACAACTCTTGATTAACGGGTGACCTGATCTGAGAGTTGTTTAAAATGTTAAGCATCTGGAGTTGTTTAAAGTTTAAACACTTAAAATCACAATTTAAACAACTGGTGTTGTTTAAAGACGGTTGTTTAAAAAGGAGCTGTTGTTCAGTGGGGGTTGTTTACACCAACTGGGTTGTTTAAAGAAAGTTGTTTAAAAAGGAGCTGTTGTTCAGTGGGGATTGTTTACACCAACTGGGTTGTTTAAAGAAAGTTGTTTAAAAAGGAGCTGTTGTTCAGTGGGGGTTGTTTACACCAACTGGGTTGTTTAAAGAAAGTTGTTTAAAAAGGAGCTGTTGTTCAGTGGGGATTGTTTACACCAACTGGGTTGTTTAAAGAAAGTTGTTTAAAAAGGAGCTGTTGTTCAGTGGGGGTTGTTTACACCAGCTGGGTTGTTTAAAGAAAGTTGTTTAAAAAGAAGCTCTTGTTCAGTGGGGGTTGTTTACAACAAAAGGGTTGTATAATGGGGTATAATTTGGGTTTGATACTCTGAATAAGTGCACCACTACTTCTGGGTCTCTATATAGGTATATGAAGACTAACAATATGGTAGGGTAATTCTGCAATTCATGAATTAGCGCCAAAACAGTGCCCATTTTGCATGAGCGCGCATGCACGCACGTATAAACTGCATATCTAGGGATGCATGCAATCTCTATGGCAAGGAATTTAGCACACGATCTATAACCGAGTGCGCGATCAGTGCCGCACTGCATGACGCGACGATTTTAAGTCTACCTATATTCTGACATTTGCGTACAGATACTGAAAATTTTAACTGTGAACTTACGCTATAAGTTAAAAACTTCAAATTGGTTAATAGAAAAGTGATTTCAATACAGCCACTGAATCCCTGCAGTCACTTAGAAGCGCGTTGGTAGCTTGGTCGGCCATGATGTGTGTTGTGTTGTGGGTTGGAAAGTAATAACTATTAAGCTAAATAAATGTAAGTTTAGAGACAAACACAATGGAGCCTGCAGAAACACGTGTGGTTGCTTTGGTAGTTTAATCCAGACTCAATGTCCATGTGCTTTTACATATGTACCAATCTGTGTAGTCAACAGAAGACCCTTACATATACTTGCATTGTGTGTATGCATCTAATATGAATAACAATGAGCTGTGCCTGAACAGCTGCACTGCATTTCTAAGTGGCATGTTAATTTCAATTGCATGTTAGTTTCAAGGAACCTGTTTCTAAACATAACAATGTGAAATAAAGCTTTTAGCCAGCGCGCACTTTACTGGCACGAGACACATGACGTCATATGTAAACAACACTGTCTAAAAGCTCTCGTATAGTAAATATAGCAGTCATTAAATTTTAAACAACGAATATTTAACAAAATTACTTTCGTTTC